AGCCACCCAGAGTCCCCCATTGGGGGGAGATGGGCGGGGACAAGTTTAATAAATAAATAAAAAATAAATTTACAATTTCTTTAAAACCTTTGGGGGGTGGCCTTCAGAGGTCTACAAGTGTTTTTTTTGTTTTTAATTTGCTTAATCTAATAGAGTTTCTTTGGTTTTTATTGAAAAATAGGATACATTTTATAATAAAAATAAAAATAATTTTCGATAGTGTAACTATTTCATTCTTAGAAAGCTGCTATACCTTCAGCGTGGTTTTCGACTTGTTTCCAAATAGCAGTCAGTCTGGATCAGAGAGGTTTTATCTGCACTGCACAGGAAGTTTTTAACCATAGTTTACAAACAACATCTCAGCTGAAGATAGCACCTGGTTGGCTGGGCTGGGCAGCTAAACAGGGTCCAGCTTGATTAGTAGTTGAATGGGAGACTTCCAACATATCCCAGATCATCAGAAATAAAATAAAAAAAAATTGCCAGAAGGGAAATCACTTCCATATTCCCACTAGGAAAACCACACAGATGTGTCCATTAAGTTACTACTGGAGCTCAACTGTGGGAGGCATGACTTTTCTTTACAAATACGTAATAATGACTATGCTAAAACCAAACAAGCTTGCTATGTGAACCCAATCATTACATTAAGCTGTAATGCAAAATTTTTTTTTTTAACTTAGTAAGTTGTGAGAATATACTCTAAGAATGACGGTTGATTACACAACAAGGTTTAGCATGTACCCTCAGCAGCTAGTGTCTCTCACAACTTCATGGATATAGCAGAAACTTATTAAAAAAAACAGAGCATGCTATAACTTACACATTACAGACCAGGAAGTATAAGATGTATACTTATGGATTTTGAGATTATCTAGATCAGTTTTCTTAAAGTGTGCTCCAAAGACCCCTGGGGATCCCCCAAGTCCCTCTTAGGGGTTTTCAAATTCAGAATTATTTGCCAGATACTGAAGCTATTTGCAAAACTTTAAAACAGCATCACTCTTCTCATTATTACTTTTTGTTAAAAAATAGTTTTTTTAATGAAAAATATTTTATTTATGTTAGTATCTAATGGGTTTAATATTGTTATTTTTACATGATTCAGTAAATAAATATTCTATGAATGTGTCAATTTTAATTTTTAATACAGTAAATATCAATAAATATAGCCCATATACAAAAAAAATGCTGAGAGCAAATAGTTTAAGAAACACTGAACTAGATGATCCTTTATTTTATCTTTCTTTTCTCCTTCCTGGCACACATAGTACATATAATTAATATTATATAACTGCTATATTCTGGGCACAACAAAGAAGAAAGGATCAGGAGATAGTGCTGTTTATTTTATGATATTTGGAACAAAACAATGGGACATGTTTAAATAATCGGGGAACAAGTACAGATAATGTTAAGAAAAGACAGCAAAATGTAATTTGTCAGATAATGCTCTCTCACACGCACACACACATGCTCATGTACACTTCTATTCAGGCATCCCAATTGCTTGGTGTATCAATTGCAAAGAGTACTTTTGTTTGTTTGGGGGGAAAAAAAGACACTGATTTGCACACCATTTCCGGCCATGTTTCTCCCTACCCGTAAATTGGTTCATAGTTCAGCTTCCGAACCAGATGCAGAGTCTGAATAATCTGCAACCAGAGAAGCAGCAAAACTGGAGGGGGGGCTTCCCTCAGCCTTTTGGGAGCCCCCTGAAGGCCTCGTGGAAGAGTCAAGGAGCGCTTCACTTGCTCCACTGTCCTGCCTGTTGACTTGTGCTGTGGCGTCAGAAGTGTTGCTCTCCCCTTCACTGGAAGCTCGCTTCGTATCCCTGGATTTCCGACACACAACACCCAGGCTGTTCAGAGGTAAAAGGGACTTGCCAGGTGGAGATTTCCCAACAGACGCCAGCTTTTTCAGGGTGTCACTGGTTTTGGGACTTGAGAGCTGTGTCGATGAGAACCATGGGCGATCCACAATCTCATTGCGTTTTTGTTTCTGTTTGTCTTCGTAGGCTGAAAAGGAAGAGGCAAGCATGGTACAATGACAGAAAACAGGACTGCAGGCAACATAGTAAAAATCAAATTATGTGCTAAACTAGTAGTGACTTTTCAGTTTCCAACAGAGATCTTTCGCATCCCCTTCTACTTGAAACTCTCTTAACTGAAATCCTGCAGAACTGAGTATGTGCCCTTCTGCATATCAAACATATGCTTTATCTCCAAGGCTGCATCTTGCCAGTGAGCACAAAAATACTTTAGTGGAACGATGAAGACTTAAGACTCCATGGGGAGAAATCTTAAAAATAATCATTGCATGGGGGAAGGAAGAAGACAGAAATTCTGCAATTACTAAAAATGTACATTCACAGCAGCAAAGGCGTGAAATCAGTTCACCAGCAAAATATTCTACACATCTTGTTAAAATTAGCATTTATTTTACCCTTATATAATAAAGGAGATTAAGAAGACAAGAAGTACAATCCCCTGTGGGCCCAGGGTGCAACTGGCCTTTTGGCTGAGAAAGAGGATCCGTATCTGTTTGGGATAAAGGTGGGGGCAGCAACCCAAAGCCATCTCTTAAAAGGAATTCCTTCTTTAGTGCAGCCAACAAAATGGGACACTTTGTCAAGGACGCGTTCTTGTGTGAGGAAGTCCCATCCTTGAGCCCCACATCCTTCCCCCCTGCAAAAGCCCCCTCACGCACAGCCAAGGCTCTGGTACTTCAGGAGCGCTGCCAGATGCCGATCTTCTTCAGCTTCCTGCACAAGCGGGATGCTCAGGTTTGCTCTTGTCTGCAAAGCGAGGTCTTTCTTCTCTTCCTCTTGCAGAACTTTCTTCTCTTCCTATCAGAGAGGAAAGAGGAAAGAAGAAGCACAATGTATGATGCACACCCACCACTGCCGTGACACTGGGAAAAACTAAGCAGGGGGAAACAAAGCATAAGCCAAAGAGAAACCAGGGCTGGAAAATACAACACAGGAGGAAAGCAATACCTTTTTTAATATTACCTCCAAAGAGCCCAGCTATCCTGAAGAAGCTTAAGAGAAACTAAAATAAGAACAAGCCCACAACCTTTAATTTAAGCTTTTCCTTTTCAATCTTTTGCTTGGTTACCTGTGGTTACTAAACTATTACTTCCTGTATAAAAGTTGGTTCTGTTACATAAGTGGCTTATATAACAATCTAATCTAATCTAATCTAATCTAATCTAATCTAATCTAATCTAATCTAATCTAATCTCCTCTCCCCTTACCCTGAGATTGAAAATACTTC